AGAGTTCAAGCCCCATGACCGACAAAAAATAAAAAAATAAAATAAAACCAGGCTACATCCTTGCTCCTCATATACTTCTTTTTTTGTCAGTCATGGGGCTTGAACTCTGGCCTGTGCATTGTCCCTCAGCTCTTCAGCTCAAGGCAAGCACTCTACTACTTGAACCACAGCACCACTCACGGTTTTCTAGTGGCTAACTAGAAATAAGAGTCTCCTGCTGGTGACTTTCAATCTGCCAAGTGTGTGCAGCCTATATCCTTCCAATTACAGAGAGACTGTCAGCCTCAAAAAAAAAAAAAAGTTCATGGACTCAGCCTCCTGAGTAGCTAAGATTACAGGCATGAACCACTGGCACTTGGTCTAATGTATCTATTTGGGAGCAAGAATAATAATGGATCTGAGGATCAGATTTCAAAAGCCAACCCTGTCCTTAAGACTCTTATCTCCAATTAACCACCCAAAAGTCAGAGTGGTAGAGCTCCAGTGGCAGAGCACCAGACTTGAGTAAAAAAGCTAAGGGACAGTGCCCACACTGCCCTAATATTAGCATGCACGTGTATGCACATACAAAGTTAACAAATGGTAGATAACTGTGTGTAAAGAATATATAGGTACTTACAATGCTATTTTTGTAATTATTCCATAAGTATGAAATGTTTCAAGCTAAAAAGTTAAGGAAAATGGAAATATAAAACTAAAAGAGGGCTGCTGGGAAGGTGGCTCAGTGGTAGAGTGCTTGCCTCCCATGCATGAGGCCCTGAGTTCGATTCCTCAGCAACACATAAACAGAAAAAAGCCAGAAGTGGCACTGTGGCTCAAGTGGTAGAGCGCTAGCCTTGAGCTGAAGAGCTGAGGGACAACGCACAGGCCCAGAGTTCAAGCCCCATGACCGACCAAAAAAAAAAAAAAAAAGCTAAAAGAGGGCTGGGAATGTGACTTAGTGGAAGAGTATCTGACTAGTATTCATGAAGCCCTGGGTACAATTCCTCAGTACCACTGAAATAGTGCCAGAGTGGCACTGTGGCTCAAGTGGTAGAATACTAGCCTTGAGCAAAAGAAGTTCAGGGACAGTGTCCAGGCCCTGAGTTCAAGTCCCAAGACTGGCCAAAAAAAAAAAAGTGTACCTGGGCTGGGAAGGTGGCTCAGTGGTAGAGTGCTGGCCTTGCATGCATGAGGCCATGGGTTCAATTGCTCAGCACCACAAAAACAGAAAAAGCTGGAAGTGGCTCTGTGGCTCAAAGTGGAAAAGAGTGCTAGCCTTGAGCTGAAGAGCTGAGGGACAGTGCCCAGGCCCAGAGTTCAGGCCCCACAACTGACCAAAAACAAAAAAAAGTGTACCTATGATTTATAATTGAGGGGTAATATGCATTCTCCCAATGCATTTCAGAGGTACTAGAATCAGTCCCCTGACACACATGTCAATTACACACTCAGGAACTGCTGATCTATATTGCTAACTTAAGTATTATGTAATATAGTCATATGCAATCAGACTGCAAGAAACTGCCTACCTCCACAAAACTTGATATTCTCGTGCAGGACTTAGAATAAATAGCACTGCTGTTACCTATAGGTGTTTATGTATTGCCTTTCAATCATAAAATCATGCTACTACAAGCTCACCTCATTCATTATTTTATGCCAGTACTGGGACTTGAACGAACTCTTGGGTTTGCTTTCTCCTGTCATTTTTGCTCAAGACTAGTATTCTATCACTGAAGCCACACTTCCACTTCCTACAGGGGTTTAAAGCAAATATTCCAAGTAAATTTCAAAGACTGAATCTATGTCACAGGGAAATAGCTACTGATTTTCCTTAAGTAATGAGTTAGTTGACTGAAACAATTTGAAATTTAACCTACAAAATCTGCTAAATTTGCTGAGCCAATTTATTTTCCACTTTGAAAAACCAAATTCTGAACAAACAGAACAAAATGAACTATTGACACGTTCCTTAAAGCACACACAGACACAAAAACCCAGGCAAACACTATTACTTGCCTCACAGTTATCTTACGAATACAATGACGAACAGTATTGCTCAATTTCCCTATCTCCAACCTAGGCTATCAATTCATGTTCTGAAAGACTAAACTTTGGTTCTACAAGAAATTGCAAGCTTTGAAGTCAATGAGCAATTTAACCTATAGCATCCTTTCAGAGCTAGCAAACAAATATCATCTTCAGTCCTGTTACTAAGTTGCTGTTACTATTCACTTTTTCTAAATCTCAATCAGTATTTTCTAGCTATAAACATGGAAGAAATTCTGACATAACTACTACAAAACAGTGTGTATAATTTCCCTGCCATGTTGAAATTCAAGAACTGTGAGTAGGTATTGACACAGAGGTAGATGTATGTAATCCTAGAACTAGGGAGACTGAGGTAGGAGAGTGAGTTTCAGGCCAGCCTGGGTGATGGAGGCATAGCTCAAGGAATAGAGCAGTAGGTTCTTGGGAAAGGAGAAGACATAAAGCTCTCCAGGCATTAAATAATCTTGAAGCCCAGGGCTGGGAAGGTGGCTCAATGGTAGAGTGCTTGCCTTGCATGCATGAAGTCCTGGGTTCGATTCCTCAGCACCATATAATGAGAAAAAGATGGAAGTGGAACTGTGGTTCAAGTGGTAGAGAGCTCACCTTGAGCTGAAAAGCTCAGGGACAGTGCCCAGGTCCAGAGTTCATGCCCCATGACCAACAAAAAATAAATAAATAAAATAATCCTGAAGTACTATATAACATTCAGAAGACATGTCCAGAATAATTTAATTTTGCTCTGTTTTATGTCCTTTTACTTCAAAAAAGCACATTTCCAAATGATGCTCAAGAAGTTTTTCTGAGGGCTGGGAACATGGTTCAAGTGGTAGATACCAGGCTAGCTAGCACCAGTTCAAACTCAGTTATACCCCACCTCCTCCCCATCCCACAAAGTTTTTCTGGGCCAAGCTCCCATGTCTGCAATCTCAGTACTCATATCTCTCAGGCCAGCTTGGGCTACAAAATGAGTTCAAAGTCAGTCTAGGATACACAGTAAAACCCTGTCCCTCTCCCCCCACATGCACACACCAAGATTTTTTTGTTTTCTTTTGCAAAAATAGGCTTTGAATCCAGTGCTTCACACATACTCAATAAATATTTCCTGGATGCTCTGTGCATGAGCTAAGCACTAAGTAAACAGACACTGCCCCTTGTTCTCATGGCACTGAACAAGTAAGCATATCTATTACGATTTGTACTTTTTTTTTTTTGGCTGGTACTGAGGCATGAACTCCGGGTCTTGCACTTTTGCTCACCTTTCTGGCTTATGGATAGTGTTCTATTACTTGAGCCATGCCTCCACTTCTAGCTTTCTGATAATTAACTGGAGATTAGTCCAGGCTAGCTCCAAACTTAGACCTTAGTCTCCTGAGTAGCTAGGATTATAGGTGTAAGGCACCAGCATTTGATTCAACTTGTAATTATTTAAAGGAAAGATTTCATTAAATCAAAGTGTACAAGAAACAAAAATAGGGGCTGGGAATGTGGTCAGTTGCAGGTGGCTCATGCTCGAAATCCTATTAAATCAGGAGGCTGAGATCTGAGAATTGCATTTCCAAACTGGCCTTAAGCAGGAGAAAGCCAAGACTCTACCTACAATTAACCACAAAAGCCAGAAGTGGAGCTGTGGTTCAAGTGGTAGAGCACCAGCCCTGAGCAAAAGAGCTTAGGAGCCGGGCACCCGAGGCTCACACCTGTAATCTTAGCTACTCAGGAGGCTGAGATCTGAGGATCACAGTTCAAAGCCAGCCGGGCAGGAAAGCCTGAGAGACTCTTTTTTTTTTTTTTTTGAGTCGGTCGTGAGGCCTGAACTCTGGGCCTGGGCGCTGTCCCTCAGCTCCTCAGCTCAAGGCTAGCACTCTACCACTTGAGCCACAGCGCCACTTGCTCATTCTGTTCATTAAAAAGAATGTCAGAACACACTGCTTATTTCAAGAACTTTTCATCTCAATTACACGTGTGCATTTGGTCAACACGCCCCTGAGACCGTCCCACGACCGCTCCTGGGGCCCCTCACCCCGGGCCGCGCCGGCTCCCCGGCCACCTCTGACTCGGCCCGCGGTCTAAGCCCCGCAGGCGGGCCCCGCGGCACTGGGCAACGCGCGGGGGAGCTTACACTTCCATGTCGTCCGCGTCTGGTCGCCGGGAGACAACACCCCTTACCCCACGCGCAGCACGCCACCACCGCGGCCTCCGCCGCTCCGCTGCAGCACTTCCGGGTCACGGTTCCGCGCCCCGCGCGCGGGGCACGCTGGGAGCTCGGTGGGCCAGGCACTTCCGCCCCTGGCTTCAGGGCCTCATCCTCGCGGGCTGGGCTTCTGTTGTCTCCGTCTGGTTTTCCTCTAATGGTTTGGGTTTCGCCACGCATCAGTAATGCTCTGCTTCATCATCGCGTGCTGCTGCGGCCTGCAGGCTTTGGAAGAGTGGAGGAAGTGTACACTTGGGTGAATTTTGCTGTGTGAATGCGTTGACAAACACACCACAAAGCAACACCACGTTACTACTCAGGAGACTGAGACTTGAGGATCACGGTTCGAAGCCAGCGGAGAGAGACTTATGTCCAATAGCAAGCAAAAAAAAAAAAGGGTAGTGGAGCCGTTGCTAGAGCACCAGCCTTGAGTGAAAAAGCTCAGACACAGTGCCCAAACTCTGTATTCAAGCCTCTGGACCCGCAAAAGAAAGAGAAGCCGGGAGAGAGATTTTGGTACGTATATCTATAGTCCTACCTACTACTTACTCAGGGAGACATAGTGGGCAAAAGTGGAAGGCCTATCTGCTGTAAGGTTTGCCCCTGGTCCTGTGCAGACACCTCCCTACCTCTCCGCTAAGTTTCTGCCCAGTATCTGTTACCTAGGTAACTGGCATACCTAAAAGCTGTCACCTCCTCCTCCTGCTAGGTCACATCCCGGGCTGCCCCTGATCAGACCTCCCATCTGACCCTAAGAGGGTCTCAGGCCCTGAGGTCACATCCAGATCCAGTGTGGCCATACCTTTCTCCCAGCTTGCCACACTTCTTCCCATCCTTGGGCCTAGATAAGTCCTGGCTCGGAAGTGGGTTCGGTAAATAAACTTTTCCTGCCTGAATATCGCATGTTGTTCTCTTCATTGGCTACCTAATGACACCTACCTACTTAATATATCTTATATCTGCTAAGTAACAAAAAAGGGATGGAGATGTGGCTCAAGTGGTAGAGAACCTGCCTGCCTAACAAGCTTGAGACCCTGAGTTCAAACCCCAATAAGTTCCTGAAGTAAGCATGGCAGCACACACCTGTGACTGAAGCACAGGAAGATGAGAGAAAACTATGGTGAGTTCTAGGACAGAATAGGCCATAGGTTGAGACCCTGTCAAAAACACTATGGAGATTGGGAATTTAGTTCAGTGGAAGAGCATTTGCCTAGTAGTATCCCAACTTCCTTAGGCCTGTGGGACTCCAACCAACAATCGGCTAAAGGAGTCACCAATGCTCAGTCAATAAGGCTAAGAACCTTTATTTATTTTTTTTTTGGGGGGGGGTCCAGTCATGGGGCCTGAACTCTGGGCCTGGGCTCTGTCCCTCAGCTCTTCAGCTCAAGGTTAGCGCTCTACCACTTGAGCCACAACACCACTTCCAGCTTTTATTCTTTTTGCTTATGTGGTGCTGAAGAATCGAACCCAGGGCCTCATGCATGCAAGGCAAGTGCTCTACCATTGAGCCACCTTCCCAGCCCAAGGCTAAGGACCTTTATTAGCTGCAGCATCTTACCTTCACTACACTAAGATGGTGAAGACCAGCAACCAAGCTCTCTTGTGGCAGGGTTTTAAAGGGGCAGGAAGGTCACTCACAGGTGGTGGGGTATGTGATAGAAAGCAGGCTTACAGACACACAGCTAGGGGGCTGGGAAGGTGGCTCAGTGGTAAGGTGCTTGCAAGGCAAGCCCTGGGTTCGATTCCTCAGCACCACATAAGCAGAAAAAGCTGGAAGTGATGCTGTGGCTCAAGTTGCAAGGGACAGCACCCAGGCCCAGAGTTCAGGCCTCACCACTGACAAAAAAAAAAAGTAGAGATAGCAGTTAGAAATTACAAATAACAATTACAATTTTAATAACAAGGCAATAAGTCATTTCTAGACTTCCCCTTTGTTTTCTTCCTGATAAGGGTCTAGCTGACCTTTATCACAATACATTCCAAACTTCTTATCATCTTCTAGATCACACTACCCTCCAGGTTTCCTGGCTCTTTCTGAGTTTCACTGTTATTTACTACACTTAACCAGTCTAACTCCTTAATTTTCTCTTGAGTCCTTACTTTTGAGAAGTTTCTTTAATAATTAACCTGGGGTTTCTATCTACAGGTCTGTTTTTAATGCTTGCCTAATCCATTCAGTAAGTGTTGGCAGTTCAAAGGGGAAATGATGGATACATTATTTGGGGTATGCTTGGGAGCTCCTCTCCCAAGGAAGGAGGGCTCAGGGAAGACAATAAGTTCTCTGCAGCAAGAGGGAGTGTGGCTAGACAGCAGGAGGAAGGACTTTCTGCAGCTGAACAGTAGCTTGAATGCCCTACTTCTGATGGGGGTAGGGGGGATCACCTTAGTTCCATCCTCAGCTCTAGGGAAAAAAAAAAAACTATAACTGGGTGCCATGGCTTACACCTGTAGTCCTGGCTGCTCAGAAGTTTGAGATCTGAGGATTGCAGTTAAAAGCCTGGGCCTGGGTGCTGTCCCTCAGCTCTTCAGCTCAAGACAAGAGCTCTACCACTTTAGCCACAGAGCTACTTCCGGTTTTCTGGCAGTTAATTGGAGATAAAGGTTTCATGGACTTTCCTGCCCGGGTTGGCTTCGAACCATGATCCTCAAATCTCAGCCTCCTGAGTAGCTAGGATTACAGGAGTGAGCCACCCTGGAGCCCTGCTCATGAAACTCTTATTACATACTTTTTTTGGGGGGGTCGATTGTGGGCCTTGAACTGTGGGCCTGGGTGCTGTCCCTCAGCTCTTTAGTTTAAGGCTAGTGCTCTACCACTTGAGCCACAGTGCCACTTCCAGCTTTTTGTGCTTATGTAGTGCTGAGGAATCGAACCCAGGGCCTCATGTATGCAAGGCAAGCTCTCTACCACTGAACCACCTTCTCAGCCCCCTCATGAAACTTTTCTTTTTGTCGGTCATGGGGCTTGAACTCTGGGCTTGGGCGATATCCTTGCGCTCCTCAGCTCAAGGCGAGAGCTCTACTGCTTGAGGTTTTCTAGTGGTTTTTTTTTTTTTTAATTGGAGATAAGAGTCTCACAGACTTTCCTGCCCAGGCTGGCTTTGAACTGCCATCCTCAGCTCTCAGCCTCCTGAGTAGCTAGGATTACAGGCATGAGCCACTGGCACCCGGCTTCATGAAACTGTTATTGCCAATGCATTTCTAAAAAGTTGGAAGTTGTATCTCAAAGGTGGAGTGCTAGCCATGAGCAAATAAGCTCAACGCCCATGCCCTCAGTTCAAACTCCAGGACTGGCACAAAAAACAAGGAACAAAAAAAAAAAAAGCTTTCTGTCTCTCTCTCTCCATATGTATGTATGTATATGTGTACATACATTTCAATCAAGTAAATGAAATGTTACCCCAGGTGCAGCTGGTTTGATCCTGTGTGTGAAGGGTCCATCTGTTCAGGAGCAAGGGCCCTACAAAAACCCTAAAGATGTTCATTGTGTTATTGTTTCAAGAAACAGGTAGAAATGACCCATGGGATACTGATGAAACAAACCCATGCTCTGCCCTTGCTGGCAGACAGCCTGGCTGGGGAACCAGCTCTGGGTAGAAATAACTACAGTGTATTCACTGCTTGCAGGAGTAGAGGAGGGAATGACTAATGGGGTGGAGAGGCGTCCCAAAGCTGGAGGGTGTTTGTAGTGGGGAGGGGAGGAGTACAAGGCTAAAAGTTCGGGGAGTGACTTCTGAGGAAGAGAAGGGAAGGCTTTTGAGACCCCACCAAGAAACAGCTCAAGTGAGACTTTCCGTAGGGAATTCCTCGGGCCCCACCCACAAACAGCAGCCTGGCCACCTGCTGATAGGTCTTTTCTCTTCAATGAACCAATGTTAAATGGCTCCCTGATCTTGATGTAGATGCTTCTCCATTAAACAGGAAGCTCTCAGAACCAAGTTTCTAAAGACCTGGGAATGTAGCAGTGAGCAAATCCATTTAAAGTAAGCAGTCTGGGGCTGGGAAGGTGGCTCAAGTGGTAGAGTGCTAGCCTTGAGCTGAAGAGCTCAGGGACAGCACCCAGGCCCAGAGTTCAGGCCCCACTACGGACAAAAATAAAATAAGCAATAAATAAAATAGCTCAGTGTTACAATGAGATGTGTCCTCAAATGATACCAGATAGATGGGAAATGTGAGGTAAGAGAAGGAAGAGAGAAAACGTGGACAGTTTCAGGGGACAGAGACTTCCACCTGGGAAGCTGAAGCAGTCAGAGGTATTTGTTCTGCGGGTCCTGGGGCTTGAACTCAGGGTTTGGGCACTGTTTTTTGTTGTTGTTTTTTTGGGTCCGGTTGTGGGACCTGAACTCTGGGCCTGGGTGCTATCCCTCAGCTCTTCAGCTCAAGGCTAGCGCTCTACCACTTGAGCCACAGCACCACTTCCAGCTTTTTTCTTTTTTGCTTATGTGGTGCTGAGGAATCGAACCCAGGGCCTCAGGCATGCAAGGCAAGCGCTCTACCACTGAGCCACCTTCCCAGCCCCATGGGCACTGTTCTTGAGCTTCTCTTTGTTCAAGGCAAGTGCTCTACCACTTGAGCCACAGCAGCACTTCTGGCTTTTTCCGTTTATATACTGAAGAATCAAACCCAAGGTTTTCATGCATGCTAGGCAAGCCCTCTACCACTAAGCTACTTTCTCAGCCCCAAGGAGTCAGAGCTGTTGTCTGGGCTGAACTTGAAGCATGGTTAGATTTTGCCTGTGGAGGGGAAGAACACAAGGACCTGGTAAAGAAAACAGGGAGGCACATGGTGAACTTGAACTATGCTGTTCTTGGTGATGCTGAGAGCCCAGACCCTGCCAGATGAACAACCTTGAGAATCAAATGCAGAATCTCATAGTTGTCCACAGAAGGAAACCAGCTGGTTGTTAAAAAAAATCACTGGGCACTGGTGGCTCACACCTGTCATCCTAACTACTCAGGAGACTGAGATCTGAGAACTGCAGTTTGAAGCCAGCCCAGGCAGGAAAGTCCATGAGCCTCTCATCTTCAATTAACCACCAAAAAAAAAAAAAGCCAAAAGTAGAGCTATGACTCCAGTGGTATAGCACTAGCTTTAAGCAAAAAAGCTAGGGATAGTGCCCAGGCCCTGAGTTTAAGCCCTAGGACTGGTACCAAAAACAAAAAAAATCCAGAAATAAGCAATCATACGTTTTAAACTAATTTGGGGGGGGGGTGCAAGCCAGGGCTTTGGAGTGTTCTGCTGAGCTAAGCCCCACTCCCTTTGGCCAAGGCCCTGTGTTTTCACAAAGACCAGAAAGGCAGTGGTCACATGAGATTCAGAAATGATTCTTTTAGCCAGCTGTTCATTAATTTGATCCGTTAGGGAATTAACTTTGGACAAACCAACTCCTGGTTCACTCCAGGAGCATTTCCCCCACACGTAGCTCTGGCTAACTTCTGGGCTTGGATTTCAGCTCAGCCACTTCCTGCCCAGGGATCTTTGGGCAGATGATTTAGTTGCTCCAGGTCATTTCTCATCAGTAGAATGATTTTCAGTAGAGTGATTATTAGTGGTGACATGGAGAAATGGTTATGTGTTTTAAGTTAAGGAGATAATTAATATAAGAAGTTAAACACAGAGACAATATGGTTAGAACTCCAGAAATATTAGCAATTATTCTTTTGTTTATGGATTTATTCATATATGATGATACCTTGCTGCAGATTCACCCACCTCACCTTCCAGTGCTGGGATTAAGGCATGCACACAGGCTTGCCCATAGGTGTGTTTAAGAGAAATGAGAGGGAGATTTGGATATAGAGACAAAGGAAACAGGGAAGGAAGCCAAGTGAAGGAAACAGGCCTGGGGTACAGCAACATGACCAAGGATGGCAAAGACAGCTAGTTATACTAGGAGCTTTGGGAGAGGCAGGAAGCCATGCTTTCCTATAGCCTTCAGAAAGAGTAAGGACACCTTGATTTTACCATTTGTTAACTATGACAATACATTTCTGTTGCCTTAAGCCACATCAACATAAATCTGTTTGCAGAAGTTTATTAAAGCAACCCTTGGAAACATAGAGATGTGAACAATCTGTACTTTTAATTCCAAAAAAAATTGCTTAGAGAAATTGAAGATCTCAATAAAAGAGTATCACAACGTAGCTTTCATGCAGAGCCCTCCTGCCTTAAGTTAAGGTACATGCCAACTATGCCCTGCTTCAATAGTCTTAAAATGTCAGTTCTCTCTTGAGCTATAAATGTAATGCAAACCTAGTTAAATCCTTGCAGAGGGGCTGGGAAGGTGGCTCAGTGGTAGAGTGCTTGCCTTGCATACATGAAGCCCTGGGTTTGATTCCTCAGCACCACATAAGCAGAAAAAAAGCTGGAAGTATCCCTGTGACTCAAGTGGTAGAGCACTAGCCTTGAGCTGAAGAGCTGAGGGACAGCGCCAAGGCCTAGAGTTCAGGCCCATGACTGACAAAAAAATTCCTAGCAGATTTATTTTCATAGTATCTGACAGCTGACTCCAATATTCACATGTAAATACAAATAATGCTAAAACAACACTGAAAAAGAAGTTGAAAAGATAACACAAGAATTATCATAAATGACTATTCAAAACAGCATGAGATTGACATAAAATTAGATAATTGCTTTGATCATATAAAATGATATTTATGGAAATGAACTCCAGGAAATGAAACAAGAGGGTTTTTCTTTGTTGTTGTCATTGCTTTATTCCACAATGTGCACTCCTGTTTGCAGACTGCTAACCTCATTCTCATTCAGTTTCTTAAGAAGGGTGTCACACCTCAGACACCAGCTAAAGACTCCAGAGACTTACTTCTCGTTCTTCAGGACCCCCACAGCTTACATCTGCTCAAGTGGCCTACTGAAGCCCAGTTCTGAGGCTTCTTTGGAAGATAGGAGAGGAATGGAGTCAGGTCACATAGCCAATGTGGGTGAGCTCATAGCAACCGATGGAGAAGACTGGGAAGCAATCACCTTTACTACAGTGTTCCTAAATCCCAGGAAAGACTGTTAGCCGTTCCTGTTCCCAGGATCCCATGAGAACTGGGATTCAGATACCAGAATCAGCCTGGAGTCAACCTGATGCTGAAGTTCAGCTAGACTCCACCCCCCCAACATTGTTGCCAAATTTAACTTTTCACCCTCAAATCAGCTGGCGTTTTGTGACTATAAGTTCAACAAATAATTGCTTGATATTTAGATCCTCTGGCCCTTTCCCTCTCCCTCCCCACCCTCCATCTTTAGTCCCTCCCCCAGCTCAGGAGGAAGGGGAAAGCTGTGGGGAGGTGGACTTGGGCTGGAATTTGAACTCAACTCCTCCAAGGTCCTTCACCTTACATTCAAACCCCAGTCTACGCCCATCTTCGTGTGAGTGTGCATGTGTGTATGAGACGTGGGTTTGCTATGTACCCCAGGCTGAGATCCTCACGCCTGAGCCTCCTGGGTACGCACCACCACGCCGGTGACATTTCTCACACTCATGTCTTTTTCCTAGATGTTTCTGTAAGCTACACAGGTGCCTGGAATGAATTTGTTGAATGAACAAAAGAGCGGACGTACCATTTATTGCACCTTATGGATCGTGTGACTTCACCCATGGCCTAGGTCTTCGGTGCCACCAGAGCTGACTTAGCACCTCAGCCTGGTGGGCCTGGGGCTCGGCCAGAGGCGACCCCGCCCACAGGCCGGGGTTGGAGGTCTGGGGAAACACCCACTTTCCTGTGCCGCTTGGATTGGTTCAGGTGCCACAAGGAGGCGGATCTAGAACCACGTGGCAGTGACGTCACTCCGGCCAGAAAAGCCCGGCGCGCTCCGGGCTGGAAACTGCGTGCACCGTGAGCCTGGTGAGTGCGAGGTGTCCGCGCGGGCCGGACCGGGTGGAGAGCCAGGGACGCGGCGGGATAACTGGGAGGCTGGACGTGCACGGGCTGGGCGAGACCCTCAGGAGCGCCCGGGACAGATCCTGGCGGGACCGGAGGAACGGGGACGGGGCCGGGAGGACCGAGATTATCGGGAGGCAGGACGTGCACGGGCTGGACAGGACTGGGACAGGACCGGGGGACCAGGAGGAGCGCCGGGAACGGAGCCGGGCGGGACCGAGAGGACCGGGAGGAGGAACAGGGACACGGCGGGGAGGACCGAGAGGAGGGGCAGGGACAGGACCGGGTGGGGGGACGAGAACAGGACCGGGGGAGGGACGGGAACAGGACCGGAAGGACGGGGAGGAGGAACAAGGGCAAGGCCGAGAGGACCGGGAGGAGGGACGGGGACAGGACTGGGAGAACCTGGAGGAGCGCCGGGGACCGGGCCCGTGGCGGCGCTCGGTGGGGCTCGGAGCTCCGAGCTGCCCCTCGAGCCCCGGGATCGCGCGGGCCGAGGTCCTCATTCGGGCTTTGTCCTCCAGACCCGGCAGACTGAGGCTCCGGACGAAAAGAACCGCCCGACATGGCCTCGGAGGTGAGTGGGAGCGCCGGGGCTCTGTCCTGTCCTGCCGGCCCCGGCGGCCGGGGCTCACGTGCGCCCGCGCTGCCGGCGCCCCTGGGAGGCCGGGGCTGAAAACGCACCCGCCACGGCGGGGCTGACCCGCGGGACCCGACAGGGCGCGGCGGGGAAAGATGCCGCCCCCTCCTCCAGACCCTCCAACAATTGCCCCCACGCAGAAAAAGTGACAGGAGTACCAGGCGCCGGGCCTCCGCGAGCCTCCGTGGATCTCGTTAGCAAGGGGCACTGCCTGCCTCTATCTGCAAGGCCCTAGGTCGTGAGCTCACCGCCCTTTGCTTGGTGCTGGCGAGGTGAACCAGGGGCCTTGCTGTGAGTGGTTTCCGCGTTCCAGGCCTTTCTGGCCCCTATTAGCTCTCCAGGCACTTGCTCTCCTTCCGTTCAGCAGAATAAATGAATTAAGAACGCTTTTTCATGATGAAGAGCTTTGAGCCCAGCCTGGACTTTGGAGCCAAACAGCTCTTTGGACATCTTTTGCTCATTTGTAAATCAAGGAAGGGGTCGCAGCACCCAGCTCACAGGAGGGCATATTTCATATGCTGAATCCTACAAGCCAAGCCACAGCCAGCCAGCTAAATTGTACCTGCTAAACTAACTGTTCTGTTAATCAGTGGGGTTTGCCTCCCTGTCCTGAAGCCATTCTGGATCAGACACCTCTTGTCTGAGAGATGCGTTCACTCTCCCCAAGTAGGCTTTTTCCCTTCTTCAGTGCCCTGTTGGAGGTGCCTTTTAGATACTGGAGGGAGGGGTCAGAGGGAGCTTGGTCCTAGAGTATGGAGGAAGCACAGTGGTCTGGTTGCAGCAGTGCTTGTTTATCAGTTATTACTAACAAGCCAGGTCCAACAGCTTACTAAGAGAGACAGTGCCTAGCTCTTTCCTGGGCACCCCCTCCAGGCTGGCTTCCAATTCTGACTAGCTGGAGTTGGTCCCCAAGCTGGTATCAAGCCCACAGCTCCACCTGGTGCTCTGTAGAGATGAATCTGGGTGAGGGAGCTGAGGGGTTGAGGCATCCCACCACTACACAGAGAGGGGTGGAGGCTACCTCTGCTGGTTGGAGTCCTTTGGCAGCCAGAGCTGATGAGCACTGAGGAGGGGTCAGAGGTCATCTCAGGCTGGTGCTTGAGCATGGTAGAGATCTTTGGAGTCCCTGTAGGGTTCAGAAGGAAGTAAAGCCCACCTTAGCTTCTCCCTTCATTACTGCATCTTCCAAGCCCTCACACCATGTGAAAGTACTATGCGTTCACTTTGCAAACACCATCTCACTGAGTACTATATCAGGCCTGTCAGATGACATTTTCATTCCTGCTTTACACAAAGACAGAGACAGACTGCTGTTTGGAGAAGTCATATGATATGCTATATAATGCCAGACATCACTGTGTTTGTATCTATGATGGCCCAAGGCTCAGGTGTTCACAGACATTCAGGGCGTTGTAGGGCAGTGGAGGACATGCATACCATGTGGCCTTTCTAGAACTCCCTCTACATAAAGGAAGCCATGCTTTCCTCCCCTGGCTTACTATCCTGGCCCTTGGCACTCCATGCCTTCAGCCTGCTCTACACATGCTGTACCCCTCCCCCTTCTGCCCTATACCCTGGCCTATGCCCTCTTTCAAAACACAGCTGTCTCTGTCCTTGGTTCTGCCCCTTTCCTCTGCCCTTGCCTCTGTCCTGTCCCTCTGTCCTCTGCTCCTGGGGGTGACTTCCTAGAAGGGCAGTGATTACTGGGGTGAGTGCTTTCCAGAGGCAGAGTGGTGGGAGGTGACATGTTAGCCTCCCCACCAAGCTGTGGGGAGAGATACAGCTACCTGAAGGCGACCCTCACCTGCCTCTTTATCCCCATGGTGGATGGTCAGGACACCAAAGGCAGGCAGAGAGGGTATAATAGAAAATAGGTTCTGATCTGGCTGTCAATCATTTGCTCCAGCTCAACCCATTGCCCCACCCCTGGTCACATGGAGATTACTCTGCACCAGAGGACTTTTGGCTGGGAGCTATGAGGCTAAGCTGCATAACTCTTTGTGCCTTGGGTCCCCTGACTCGGTAGCAGGATGGTATTGGCACCTACCTCAGAGGGTTGCTGCCAGTGCCTAGCACACAGTGAGAAAGGAATAGATGCTAGCTAATACATTTATAGGTATTATTCTCATTGGACACAGGTTTTTCTTGTTTTTTTTTTTTTGGGTCCAGTCATGGGGCCTGAACTTGGCCTGTGCGCTGTCCCTCAGCTCTTCAGTTCAAGGCTAGCACTCTATCAATTGAGCCACAGTGCCATTTCCAGCTTTTTTCTTTTTGCTTATGTGGTGCTGAGGAATTGAACCCAGGGCTTCAGGCATGCAAGGCAAGCACTCTACCACTGAGCCACCTTCCCAGCCTGGACACGGGGTTTTCTTAAACCCCTGGTTGTGATGCCAGCTATTCAGGAGGACATAGTAAGATGACGGTTTGAAGCCAGCCCAGCCAAGAAAAAGAAGCTTGGTTCTCAACAATAAGACAATTGTACTAGTGCAAGCTTATAATCCTGGCTCTTCATGTGACAAAGGGAGAAGGATTGTGATCCAAGTCTAGCCATAGCAAAAAGTGGGAGTCCTATCTGAGAACAAATTAAAAAGGACTGGAAGTATGGCTCAAATGGCAGAGAGTTTGCTTAGCAAGCATGAGGCTCTGAGTTCAAACTCAGGTGCTTCAAAACAAACAAACAAACAAAAAAAGCTCTCAGGTTCCAGGATCACTTCTCCCTTTGGTCAGTGACAAGAAAGGTCCACAGATTTCTGTTATAGTCCCGGGCATGCCAGCATCTCCCCGGGGTCATGCTCTGCAGTGGGAAAGAATGCTGCCCAGAACCCTGCCCATGACCCCATCCACTGCTTCCTGGTGCCCTTTTTGAGAGGCTCTGTTCTGTAGGGTGTGGAGGTGACTGATGGTACCTGTTCTCTCTGCAGAGCGGGAAGCTGTGGGGCGGCCGGTTTGTGGGTACAGTGGACCCCATCATGGAGAAATTCAACTCGTCCATCACCTATGACCGGCACCTGTGGGAGGTGGATGTGCAAGGCAGCAAGGCCTATAGCAGGGGCCTGGAGAAGGCCGGGCTCCTCACCAAGGCAGAGATGGACCAGATCCTGAGTGGCCTGGACAAGGTATTTTCCAAGACCAGAGTCCCTCCTTAGAGCTCCTTCCTGTGGCGCCAGGCTCCCACCCAATCCCTGTGCACAGGACCCTGAGCTGGCATCTCACTGTATGGTAATTACACAGTCCAAGAGGATCTCTGTAGTCATTACATACAGCCACGGGTGGTCTTACCATGTGATGTGGTATCATCTTTCCCCATCAGGTGGGCAAGGGACTGGGGGACAGGATTCAGCTCTGCACAAGGACCACTGACCATCTAGAAGAGAGGAGGAAGCAAGCAGGGTCCTCTCAGTTTAATAATTCCTGTCCACTTGGCCCCCTGGGTTTGTTGCTCCTTGCTATAGGTGGCTGAAGAGTGGGCCCAGGGCATCTTCAGACTGAACCCCAATGATGAGGACATCCACACGGCCAATGAGCGGCGCCTAAAGGTAGGGTGCCCTTCTGCCCCCAGCCACCTTGGTTCCCTTCCTCATTGTCAGAGAGTGGGCAGAGCAGAAACAAGAGACCTTGGCAGGACCAGGGATTAAGCAGTGAGGGAGGGCAGCCAGCCTGGGACGATGCTCTGTGCTGTGAGCTCCAGCCACTCCCTAAGCCTTTGCCTCCCTTCACTCCCAGGAGCTCATTGGAGAAACCGCTGGGAAGTTGCATACAGGACGAAGCCGGAATGACCAGGTGCCACCAGCCCCTCTGAGCCCCACCAAGTGGCTTCCAGTCATGGAGCCGGATGGCGCAGGGCCCCCAGAGCCCAGGAAAGCAACTCTGCCTCCCTGAGTGCCGTGCCTTTTCTCCACAGGTGGTCACGGACCTCAGGCTGTGGATGAGGCAGACCTGCTCCAAGCTCTCTGCTCTCCTCTGGGCACTCATCAGAACCATGGTGGATCGTGCAGAGGCGTGAGTCCTGAGATGGGCAGGTGGCAGGGAGGGCTGAGCTGCTAGGACTTGTGAGTCTTGAACTTTTCTGCATGGGCTGGCCTCAAACTACAATCCTACTTTCAATCTCCCAAGCAGCTAGGGCTACAGGCATGAGCACCACACTTTATTCTATCTTGGGGTCCTTAGGAGCTCCATAAATACAGCCTTATTCACAAATATAGCCTTACTACCAGGTGGTGCCCACACAAGCGTCCTCCTCTGTTTGGGTCCCACTTACAGCTACCAACAGGCTCTGCCCAGGCTAAGGAAAACCTCCTCTCTCTACAGTCCATCCCCGGACCTCACTGTCCCACTGCTGGCCTCTTCCTGTTTGTCCACAGGAGAGCACTCAGTCCCTTGTGCAAGCAGTCTGACAGCACTGCCTTGTTGTTCCCTGGGAAGGCCCAGGCAAACATAGTTAGGACTCACCTAAGCCTCTACTTGAGGCCCAGCTGGACCCAGCCCCCATGTGTCCTATTCCTTCTTGCCCTATAGAGAGCGTGACATCCTCTTTCCCGGCTACACACACCTGCAGAGGGCTCAGCCCATCCGCTGGAGCCATTGGATCCTGAGGTGAGCAGGTGTAGTTCAGGGCAGCGCAGGGGCCACGGCAGCAGGAGGCCAGGCCCTGGGCAGCCCTCACCTCCAGCCCTGGCTTTTCCCAGCCATGCTGTGGCACTCACCCGAGACGCTGAGCGGCTGCTGGAGGTGCAGAAGAGGATCAACGTCCTGCCCCTGGGAAGGTAAGCAGGGCCTCAAGGTGGGGGTGCACTCTCACGGTGCACATGGCCTTGAGTGGAGAGCAAGGGAGATGCTGAAAGAAGGAAAGCTGGTGATTAGCCAGGACACGCTGTATGGGCCTCTAGGTCTCATTAGCCAAGCTAATGAATGTGTCTGAGCAGAACAAAAGCTCACTGGAGACATGGCTCAAGTAGTAAAGCAGCAGACCTGAGTGGAAAAAGCTGAGCAAAAGCACGAGGCCCTGCGCTCAGTCCCCAGTACTATTTCAGAAAACAAAGGCTCTCCAAGGAGGCTCCCAGAGAGCCCAGCCAGGGCCCACAGCCAACCTGTTCTCTACATGTGGAAGGTTCTGGTGCCCAAGATGGTGGGGTCAGGGAGAGGACCATAGCCCTGGCAAGTAAGGCTGGGTTCAGGGTATGCATGTGAAGTATGCCAAGCCTGCCTGCCAAGACGTCTGGTCACCATGAGTCTTCTGTCTTGACAGTGGGGCCATTGCTGGCAACCCCCTGGGTGTGGACCGGGAGCTGCTCCGAGCAGGTGAGGTAACCTTCCATCCTCCCTAAGGAGGACTTCCAGGTCCCACAGACTCACATAGCACAAGAAGGGGTGGCTCGCTGGTTCACTAGCTGTGATCCCAGCCTTGTCCATGGCCAGGGAAACTGGGGGCTTATGCTGCCCTCTTGGGACCTGTGCAGAGATTCCTTGCCCTCCAAGCCAGACCTCTTCTCTCCTCACTTCCAGAACTAAACTTTGGGGCCATCACGCTCAACAGCATGGACGCCACCAGTGAGCGAGACTTTGTGGGTGAGTTTTGGAAGCCAGCTCACTGTCTCCAAGATGGCCTCTGCTTTGTCCCTGGCCCCAGCTTCTCTCCAGCCTCCTCCTGCCACCACAGGGTCTACCGTCAGTTTCTCCAGGCTGGTTGTGGAACCAGTGAAGACCTGATGGCCCCAGAGCTTTGTGTCTCTCTCCTTTCTTCCAAGCTGAGTTCCTGTTCTGGGCCTCCCTGTGCATGACGCACCTCAGCAGGGTGGCAGAGGACCTCATCCTCTACGGCACTAAGGAATTCAGCTTTGTGCAGCTTTCAGATGCCTACAGGTAAGTCCCGGGCTGCCACATGGCCTGCTCACCATTGCACCTGTTGTGTGACTCTTTTCCTCCCCACTCCACCTTTGCCCAGACCCGAACCTGCCCTTCCAGCGGACCAGCTGAGGGCCGGCAAGCCTTCATTCCCAGCCTCTCTGTCCCCAGCACAGGAAGCAGCCTGATGCCCCAGAAGAAAAACCCAGACAGCCTAGAGCTGATCAGGAGCAAGGCGGGGCGAGTGTTTGGGCGGGTAAGTGGGCTGACCCAGCAGGCCCTGAAGGGACTAGAACAGCTCTTGGGTCCCAGCTCCTGAGCCTCATTCTTCCTGCAGTGTGCTGGGCTCCTGATGACCCTCAAGGGACTACCTAGTACCTACAACAAGGACCTACAGGTAGAAGTCTGCGGGGCAGGGAAGGACCTCCTGTCTCCCTGCCAAACAGCAGTCAGTGCTTAGGAGTCTAGCTCACCTTGGCAGGGACTCAGCCATTCTCCTATCTTTGTATCAAACCCTGGTCTCCCTAGGGGCTTGCTACTATTCCTTGATGTGGGTGTATGAGGCACTTAATGTACCCTGGGAGGCAGTGAGGCATCCCCACAGAGACATGAGGAGGCAGTGGGGAGTCCCGGGAGGCAATGGGGCGGTCCCCACAGAGACAGGGTTACTGGGCCTCACTCTCTGACATGTGCCTCACAGGAGGACAAAGAAGCTGTGTTTGAAGTGTCAGACACCATGAGTGCAGTCCTGCAGGTGGCCACTGGCGTCATCTCTACCCTGCAGGTAAGATCCACCTCACCCAGCTCTCCTCCCCAGATCTCTAGATCCAGGACGGGTTTACTGGGAGAAGGTCCTGAGAGGAGGCCAGGGAGGCTGGAAAGCATTTGGTGCCAAAAGTTGCTGCAATAGAATAGATGTGTGGATGGACATCAATACGGTAGATGTGGATCGATGTCAATATGGTAGATGTGGATGGGCAGACTCAGAGCTCCAGGTCCATCAATCTATTGCAAAGTAGTTCAGGAGATATCTCTAAAGTACAAATTCTCCAAGTATGGTCCCCGACTCACAGCTTCAGCCTCACCTCAGAACCTGACAGATACACAACCCCAAGTCCCACTCCAGGGCAGTGATCAGATATGCAGGGCTGGGGCTCAGCAATGTTCTGTTTTGTTTGTACCAGTACAGATGTTTGAACTCAGAGCCTTGCCTTCTCACCAGCTTTTTTGCTCTCATCTGGTATTCTACCACTTGGCCTATGACTCCATTCCAGAATTTTGGAGGTGAAATCTTGAGGGCTTTCCTGCCTGGGTTGGCTTTGAACCTTGATCTTCCAAATCTCAGCCTCCTGAGTAGCTATGATTACAGACATGAGCCACAGACTTTGCTGCTGTGTTTTGAGATAGGGTCTCATTTCCTGTCCAAGTACTTGAACCACAGTCTGCCTAGGTGAGGCTTCCTGTCATAGCTTCATGACAGATGTAAGCCACCATGCCTCACTCCTTTCTGTTGAGATGAGAGATCTCACAGACTTTCTGACCAGGCTGGCCTGAACCTCTGTCCTCCTGATCTCAGCCTGCCTTGCAGCTAGACTCAAACCACTGGTGCCCAGCTACCAATTTGTTGTTGTTGCTCTTACCAGAAAATAAACACCAACTTTATGAAAACAATAGCAACAGAAAGGATTTCTAATTACCCAGCAGAAAAAATTAACCTGAAACCAGCACCACCTGGTGAGCATTACAAGATCAAAAGCTCTGGGCTGGGAAGGTGGCTCAGTGGGAGAGTGCTTGCCTTGCATGTCTGAGGTCCTGGGTTCGATTCCTCAGCACCACATAAGCAGCAAAAGCCAGAAGTGACACTGTGGCTCAAGTGGTAGAGTGCTAACCTTGAGCTGAAGAGCTGAGGGACGGCGCCTAGGCCCAGAGTTCAGGCCTCATGACTGACAGAAAAAAAAAAAAAAAGATCAAAAGCACACCAAGGGCTGTCAGGAGAGTTGCACAGACATGCTTTTCACATCGTTCCTCAGAGAGAAGGCTGAAAGTGCCTGATTCATGCTTAGGTCTTGGGGGTACAGAGAATAAGAGACTATAACAGTGCAGAGAACAGAGCTTGGTTCTGGAATTCAAGAAAAGCCTATTGCTGGGCACCAGTGGCTCCTGCCTGCAATCCTAGGTACTCAGGGGACTGAGATCTGAGGATCACGGTTCAAAGCCAGCTTGAGCAGGAAAGTCTGTGAGAAGGCTGGGAATTTGGCTTAGTGTTAGAGTACTTGCCTTGCATATAGGAAGCCCTGGGTTTGATTCCTCAGTACCACATACAGAGAAAAAGCCAGAAGTAGCACTGTGGCTCAAGTGGTAGAGTGCTAGCCTTGAGCATAAGAAGTTCAGGGACAGTGCTGAGGCCCTGAGTTCAAGCTTCAGGACTGGCAAAAAAAAACATTGAAGACAAAGACAATACCAGTAGCAGTAATTATGAGAAGTTTCAAGTAGGGAGGCTGGTGGTTAGGAGACCATCCACCCACGTAAGGGACATACAGGCTAGGGGTGGGGAGCAGGCCCAGAACTTGGCAGCAGCTTTAGTGCTCAGGGTCCCCAGAGCTCATGATTTGCGGGTTGGATCCCCAGATTCATCGTGAGAACATGGCCCAGGCTCTTAGCCCTGACATGCTGGCAACGGACCTTGCCTACTACCTGGTGCGCAAAGGGGTGAGTTTGAGCCTTCCCCCCAGTGGAGGGGTGCCAAGGTGGGGGCATCCCCCTGCCATATGGGGGTTCCCAGGGCAGAACTGAGCAGAGGAAGCCCACGTCAGCCCCCACCCCTCGCTCCCCAGATGCCATTCCGCCAGGCTCACGAGGCCTCCGGGAGAGCTGTGTTCATGGCAGAGACCAAGGGAGTGGCCCTCAACCAGCTGTCACTGAAGGACCTACAGACTATCAGGTGCGGATGCTGCCTTCCCTCTGCCCAGCCTGGAAGGGTGTGGGGTCTGGGGCTAGCCTCATCTTCTTCTCTATTCCCAGTCCCCTCTTCTCAGGCGACGTGAGCCTTGTATGGGACTACGGGCACAGTGTGGAGCAGTACAGTGCTCTGGGCGGCACAGCACGCTCCAGCGTTGACTGGCAGATCGGCCAGGTGCGGGCGCTGTTGCAAGCACAGCAATCCTCCATAACCCACAAGCCCATTCCCAAATAAAATGGACCCTACAGGAGATGTGCATTCTTCGTGGTCCAGCCCATCTCCCCACTAGTGAGCTTGGGAGGGGTCTGGCAAGCCAACCTGTGGAGCCACCACAGGTTGAAAGTGGGCACTGCTGGAAAGGGGGGGCTTCTATTAGAGCCTGCGTCTCCAGTCTCACCCATGTACCATGGGGCATCCTAGGGACTCCCTGCCTGGGGTGTCCTTGGAGTCCTAGGGGAAGCAGGCAGTCTTGGTTGACAAGTCAGTGACTAGCCATCCTTCCTTCCTGGCATTCTCTCAGTGCTTAACGCAGCCTTCCCCTGACCACTCATGCACTAGTATCCCAGGGTATCCTATGGGCAAGGCCCATAGTAGGGCTGTACACTCCAGAGACGCATGGTGTATTTTGTTGTGGCATTAGTTATTCAGCCAGCATGGGATGCCATGCTCAGGTCACATAAGAAGACATAGAGCCCGGTGCTTGTGGCTCACACCTGTAATCCTAGCTACTCAGGAGGCTGAAATCCGAGGATCATGATTTGAAGCCAGCAGGGGCAGGAAAGTCCATAAGACTAATCACCAGTTAAACTGGTTAACAGGAAAAGCTGGAAGTGGCACTGTGGCTCAAGTGGTGGAGCATTGACCTTGAGCATAAAGAAGCTCAGGGACAGTGCTCAGGCCCTGAGTTCAAGCTCCCTGACCCATACACAAAAAAACAGTGCTTCTCCACCTAAAGAGTGCCATGCTGATCTCGCTTTATATCTACCCATGATATGAGAGTCAGGTGTAATGTCCTGAATGCCCAGTCCCAGCAGCAACAAGGGAGGGATGGTCACAACTCTGCAGTGGGCCAGAGTCCAGGCCCTTTGCATGGTAAGTGTTCTGAAGAGCTCACAGAGATGCCAGATACAAGCTCACAGGCTTGCAGAACAGCGAAGCTCACAGTGTAGTTCCTCCTGTCCTCAACAAGAAACTTCCTAGAAACATCCATTGCAAACCAGACCTCCCTGAGCTGTGGGGCAGGGCCCGGGCCTCCTCTACAAGCCTGGCTGTCAGGTGAGCTCTTGATGTTGGGCCTCCTGGGCCTGTAGGGTCTTGTGCTCAGCTAATGGAGGACCGCAACATTATCACCTCCCAGGGTGCAAACCACTTCATTTTAACTTGAATCCCCAGGTGCCTCCTGGGGGCACTAGGGCAGAAATTCTGATCCTGAGACCATGCTGAAAATTGTGTCTCAGAAATGAAAGATGGCTGAGCGCTGGTGGCTCACAACTGTAATCCTAGCTACTTAGGAGGCTGAGAGATCTGAGGATCATGGTTCAAAGCCAGCCAGGATAAGAATGTCCATGAGACTCTGATCTCCAATAAACCACTCAGAAAACTGGAAGTGGTACTGTGGCTCAAGTGAAGAAAAGAGGGGCTTTCCTCTGCCAACAGCAATGGTGTTATGATGACTGCATAGAATGGAGTGGGCAAGTGGCTGCCATTCCTGCTCTACCTCCACTGATGGGCACACTGCTGCAATGCCTGCCCTAGCTCCACAAATGGGCATACCAAGCTGTATGTGGGAAGTCATTTTCACTCCTGCTACAACTTCCACCTTTGTCAAGTAGTGATGGCTTACATCCTTAGCTCAGGCCATCATAACACCAAGTCCAAGTCTCACCTGTCCTCAGCTCCAAAGTGAACCTCTAACTTAGGTGTTATCAGTGGAGGTGGATGGCAGGCTTTTGATCACAATGAGGAGGGAATTCTTAGTAGACACTGAGAGCAAGAGCTAATAATGCAAAAAGTAGATTTATGGAAGGGGAAGTGAGAGTACATGGGGGTGCGGGATAGAGTCCTGCCCCCGGGTCTGTGGGTACAAAGTCAAAAGCACACCTTGTGGGAGTGGAGAGGGCAGCCCGACTGAGCAGTTGAGTGATACAAGCTCTCCAATCTTAGATACTCTGTGGGTTTAATGATTGTGCTGAAGATGTGAACATAATTGCAATGTTTCTTATGTTTCCAAGAATTGAGAGATGGGGGCAGATGCAGTGTCCAGTGGAGTAAGATGTATCCAACTGCAGCTGTGAGCCAGGTACCTGCAATCCTAGCTGCTCAGGGGGATGAGATCTGAGGATCACAGTTTGAAGCTAGCCTGGGCAGGAAAGTCTGTAAGACTCTTTTCTCCAATTATGCACACATGTACGAAAAAAGCCGGAAGTGGGGCTGTGGCTCAAGTGGTAGAACACTAGACTTGAGCAAAAAACCCGGGGACAGTGCCCAGGCCCTGAGTGCAAGCCCCAGGACAAGCACAAAGAACAAAACAAAGCCGCAGCTGTGATGAGATGGGGATGAGGCCTGGAGCCAGGGCAGGGAAGGTCGCTGTCAGGGGACGGTTGGCCACTATACCAGAAGCAGCCTTGACCATGATCACTTGTTACATCAGGACAACGGTGGATTGGGTACTGGACAAAATGTCTCGAGATGTGGTCTGTTTGCTTTCTAGCTTCTGTATTTATTACTGCTACCTTTCTGCCTACAGCCCCGTCAGTCCCCATAGCCGAGGCTCAGCCATCTATCCCAATATGCCAATTAAAGGAAAAGGAGATTTTACCTGACAGCCCCATCAGGAAGAACACAAAGGTGTTCAGTGACACCCCCCAACTTGTCCACCTTCATGGGTCTTACTAGAACTCAGGAGACTATAGAAAAAAACATAAGGACACTGGGAAGGTGGCTTAGTGGTAGAGTGCTTGCCTCACATGCATGAGGCTCTGTGTTCGATTCCTCAGCACCACTAAGCAGAAAAAGCCAGAAGTGGTGCTGTGGCTAAAGTGGTAGAACTGAAGGACAGCTCCTAGGCTCAGAGTTCAAGCCCCATGGCTGACCAATGAGGTCAAGCACCAGTGTCTCACCCTGTAATCCTACCTACTCGGGAGGCTGAGAACTGAGGATCGCGATTCAAAGCCGCCTGGGCAGGAAAGTCCATTAAACTCTTTTTTTTTTTTTTCACCATTTTTCTCCATTAAGTCATCAGAAAATAGGAAGTGGCTTGTGGCTCAAGTGGTAGAATGCTCACCTTGAACTGAAGAGCTGAGGGACAGCTCCCAGGCCCAGAGTTCAAGCCCCACAACCAACAAAATAGAAAAAGAGAGAAATTGCTGCTCTGTGGTGGGCTCAGACCCAAGTAGCAGGCCCTGGAGATCAGAGAACTTGACTATGAGAAATTAAAGCTTTGTATTTTTAGGGTGCTATATTTCCTCCTTTTCATTTCGTTTCCTTTGAAGGGATCTCAAAGAAAAGAGCCCCAGACTTGTTTTCTTCAAGGAAAGGAACAGAAAAATGTAACTTTTAGATTTGATGTCATGTCCTGCTTGTTTGGGCCAAAATGTATTAACTGCAAAAAGCTTTCTTTTGGGCCAGTGCTGGCGGCTCAAGCCTGTAGTCCTAGCTACTCAGGAGGCTGAGATCTGAGGATCATGATTTAAAGCCAGCTAGAACAGGAAAGCCCTGGATACTCATTTCTAGCCTTGAGCTGAAGACTGAGGGACAGCGCCCAGGCCCAGAGTTCAAGCCCCACAACCAACAAAAAAAAAGAAGAAGAAGAAGCAAATATCCGCATATAATATTTGTTCCATTTATTTGAGGATGCAATAATTAAAGTGGGGTAAATTAGGGACCGTGGACATTGGAACTGAAAGCCAGTGGCTGGGCCATGGTAGCACATGTGTGTCATCCTAACTACTTGGGATATGAGAGGTCAGGAGGATCATGGTATGAGGCCAGCCTAAACAAAAAGTCAAGATTTTATCTCAACCAAGCGTGACTAGGTGGTTCACGTCTATCCTCACAGTCACATGGTAGAAAGGCTATAGTCTGAGTCTAGCCTCAGGCAAAAATGCAAGGCCCTATCCAGAAAGGCCTGAGTGTTTAGCTCAAGTGGAAGAGTACTTGCTTAGCAGGTGTAGGGTCCAGAGTCCATATTCCAGTACTGCCTGAAAATTCATAAAGGAAAAGAAACACCGTAAGAATAATTTGACATGGAGTGCACATGTGGTTTGGTTTGGTTTTTTAGGTTCCCACCTCTCTGTTAGGTATTATCAGCAATGGCTTTAACCTTGCACAAATTATTTGTCTTAAATTCTGGATAAGCATCCCCTGAACGTGTATCTTAAAGAACACATCTGGTGGGAGGCATCCTTTGCTCAACAGGACTTCTTGTGAAAGGAGAGCAGATCTCTATCTCTGGGCCCAGCTGAGAACATGGGAACATTGTAACAATAGGAAGGCTTGAGTAAGTCAGACATTCAGAATGAAGGATAGCCTTCCCATGGGAACATTTAAATTCAGCCCCCCTTCCTTCCCTACCTTACCTTATTGAAGGAGAACACACACACACACACACACACACACACACCTGATGTAAAAGTTGTGTACATTCATAACTCCTGCACCTGGCTTTCTGCTTTCTTTAATTCAGACCTAGTCTTGTGTCCCAGCCTGAATTCTTTTCCATATCAGAAACTCAGGGACTTTAAAGGAGCAAACTCAGTTCTGGCTCTCAGGGAATGTGTTGGTGCCTCACAAATCCCTAGTCACTTAATAAAAAACAAAGTTTTAGCTCTCTTCCCAGATTCTTTGCACTCAGCCCCCAAGCCCCTTGGAATCACCATAGTGATGTGTTTGTTAGTATCCAGTGATACAGCTGAGCCTGGGCTGCACAGCCTCCAGTGGGGGCCGCTGCGGGAGGAGGGGAGGGTGGCAGGAGGGGGGGGCAGACAGCTGTGATAAGTAGGTTTGAGAGGCTGGCACGTTCCACCTCCACCAGACTAAGGAGGAAGGATGAAATCAATCACCAGTGCTAACGATTGAACCTGCACTGCCTAAGCAATGTAGCCTCTACACAAACCCAAAAGGGTACATTTGGAGAGCTTCCAGGTTAGTGATCATGCCAGGGCGCTAGAGGGGGCTGTGTGGAGGTGAGACAGTTCTTTCCCGGTACTTTACCCTGAGCACTGTCCCCTGTAATTTGCCCTGAACTCCTTC